GGGGGGGAGGGGGGCTTGCGTGAGCGCTACTGGTCATAGATTTGGGTGGGCGCGGCAGTCGACTGAGAAAGGGTGCGTTCAGAGGTTGCAAGATGCTTCAGAAATGCCGTACAAGGTCGTATGTTCAGCAACTAAATTGTCGTACGATTGAATATTTTATGATGAAGACGATCGTTATTCGTTATTGCAATGAATATATTGAATCAATTAATGTTAATCGTTTATTGCAGGCTGAGATGAACAGACTAAATTATAAAGATGGACAGGAGGAAGGTCTGATTCAAAGAAAGTAAGTATTGCATTTTCATAACAGGTTTTAAGCACAACGACTCTTATGCTGAACTACGAATGACGAGTTGTCAAAGTTCTTTATTGTTTAAGTTGAAGTGTACGCAAACTTGTATATATTAGATTTGCATAGTAATGAATTTGATTGCTTTTTGTAGAAAATGTCACGTTAGTGTGGTGTGTTTATAAGATTCCCATCCGTAAGCCTGGATTTTCATCAGTGTACTGCACAAGCTCAGATATTCATATTGGCTCGCTTTCTATCCGAGACGGATGATACATTTGCGCGAGCGCGAACTTTGCAAAGAAAAGCTACTAAGATAGTTCATCTTGACGGATGTACGATTGTACGTCAGGACCAACAAAGAAAAGCTAGAGCTCTCGCGATCTATATAATGCCGTGAACTTGATTTTACGAAGGAGCGGATCTACCGTGTGTGCGCAGGGGGATGCGCACCCCACCTAGTGGTGTCTAGCACCCCAGAGAAGTCCAGCACCACCATACATTTTCTGCTTTTCGAATAGCGATAAGTGGAACTTCTACTGTATGGTGTCGATTTCTTGAACCCAGAATGCTTTAGTTCGGTACAGCCATATTATAATTTACTTTAACAAGCAAATTTACTCTACTGTGCTACAGCAACTGTCCAGTCGCAGATACGTGATAAAAAGCCGAAATAAACTTTGTAAACACAAAAGATAATGTAAAATGTCACACAGGCCTCGAATTTCTCTGAAGATCAATCGACGGCAATTTTGGCAGTTTCCACGGCATTTGTTCAAATTAATAAAAGTAAGTTTATTGTTACTTTGGATTGTTGACAAGGTAGAAACATGTTTACGTATTTCTTTAAGTGTTTTTTTTTTCGAAGAAAACTGAGACTAAAATAGTAATTTACGCATGATTTGATCAACATCTGAATTCAAGTATCAATATAGTAATGCACAGTGAGTAGTATAAAAATTACACTATACGGCAAAAAATTGCCGTCGTTGCCGCAATATCCACGGCATTTTGTTCTCCCTCTACGGCAATTGCCGCGATAAAATTCAAGCCCTGATGTCACAGAACGGCGAACATGCAGATTCGGCCATCTCAAATGATGGTAATGTTAGGATAGTAGCTGAGAATGGGCAGTAAGGCTCCCGCATGCATCACCCCCAAAAAATCCTGCACCCTCCTTACAGATGAGACTGGATCCGCCCCTGATTTTGCGTTGGTCGATTGGATGTCCGGATGGATGCATGACTGTCCCATTAGCGAACGTAATAAACGGATGTCTATTCGAATTAGCAAATTCCAATTAGCAAGCGTAATGAAGAGAAAGTTAGACGGATTTGTACGGCGCATGCGTGTTATGTTACCATTTGGTCGCGCTAACTGACTATCCAAAGCTGACTATCTAAAAATTGTTTTCTTTCAAGAGCAGTGCATGTAAAATGTATTTGTTAATTTTTCAAGTATTCAGCGGCGCCACATTCCAGTGGAGAAAGGCACTCCTTCGTGGTGTTATTAGTATTTTAAACAGTACAAAATAGCGCAATGAAGGCCCATTCTTTTTCCCGTTTCATCTTTTGAGAGCGTCGATCTGAGGCGGCACTTCTCTTGCGATAGTAACTCCTAATATTAATATTAATTTTTGTCTAGGCGTGAACTTGAAGCCGAAGTTGCCGAATTACGCACAAAAACAGAAATGCTTGAAGCCAGGTAGGTCGTATTTCAAGAAATATACATGTGGTTAATAATACCTTGGCCTAATCATAGGTTCTCTTCCTGCAAGAGGGCCCATAGCTGCATTTTTCGCAAATACAATCTCCTGATCAGGTCTAAAATGTATATATGTAAAATTCCGTTCGAAAATTCCATCTACAAAAAACTCATCTATACTGTATTTTTTCTTCGTTTTTCGTCTAGGTTTCCAAATTTACAGTTTCAATACAAAGATCCCGAACCGAATTTTAACAGAAGAAAGGTAGGCTTGATTTACAGTATTTTTAAGCCAGTTCCGGAGTCATTTTGGGCCTGTTTATGTGATCCTGACGCGACAGGACGTTTTCATCCTGCCTAGCGCTAGGAAATGCAGCGTGTTTACTGTATATATGGACAAAAACATTGCCAGGATGAGGTACTCTATGTGCTTGATGTCGTATTTTTTGCCGAAAAGGCATTTACATATGCTCAGAAGGCAATTTCTATAATTGTGGATTTCTCGTCCCACCTAGGCGCGATGGAAGCAGTACCGCGTATAAACACTCAATAGAGTTGATATTGTGAACGGGATCTCGGCAGCTTTCAGTTCCGCCTAGCCGGGATTATACAGGCCCTTATCATGTTTAAATTTATCTTACAGTATATGAGCATAATTGTGTAGATTGTTCCAAAAATTAACTCACATTGTGTACCTTTAACAGGTGAAAGGTTTGGTGGCACAGTTGATAAGAGTAAAAGATGTATCAACTGCTACTGCTCTTGAAGTCGCAGCAGGAAATAGGGTACAGTAACTACATGTAAATTCTGAGCGTTTTAATTGTGTATCTGTGCATGCATGCATGCATGCATGCATGCATGCAGTATGTACATTACAATTGATGTTCTGAATGTTTTGTCTCAAATATGTAGTTTGTTAGTATAATTTTATTGTTGGCATAAAGTTATACTTAATTAACAGAGCCTGAAATAACGGCCGGCGGGTTTCCGACCAAATTCCGATTTTTCCGACCAAATGCTGAAATGATCGGAAATTTTGTCCGGCCAAATTTTGAGAAAAAGAAAAATGTTTTCTTAATGATCGGGTCGGCGCTCAGCACAGTGAGTCAGGGTTGCCAGATTGCTGAATAAATAAGCCAAATATTATTATCATAACCTTTGTTTTCTTTGTTCGAAACAAAGACATCAAAGGGCCGTTTATAACAATGTTTGGCTTATTTATTCAGTAATCTGGCAACCCTGCAGTGAGTACCATCTGTAAGTTTGGATTATCTATATTAGGCTAATATAAAGTAATCAAGGAAACGTATTGTTTTTAATATCTTCGAGCTTGTCGGGTCAAGATAAAAACAGCGTCGGCGGGCGTGATTAAATTATTATTCACTATAACTATTCCAATAAGTATAGGTTATTTTGAGGCAACGAGGGGATATGTGATTTATTCACCGAGGTGCGCAGCGCCGAGGTGAATAAACACATATCCCCGAGGTGCCTCAAAATAACGTACTTATTTTTTACATTGCGAGGTCGCGTTATTGCCTTCGTTATGTCGTTTTTTTCTCATTTTTGTGCTGCAAAGACATTGCAGGTGAATATTAGAGGGGATTATTAATTGCAGGTGAATATTAGAGGGGATTATTAAACGGAAATTGATTAGAGGAGAATATTGAATATATTCCCCGATAAGAACAAAGGAAACCGAGCAGGGTGAAAAATAAGCAATTCAGAATTAAACATTTGTGTTTTATTATTGCAAGTAGAGTGATTTACTCAGTGCACGTCTGCATGCTTGACAGAGTTTGCTCATTTGGGGCGTGTGGACTTGGTCAAACTAAACTGAAAAATATTCCGGTCAATTTTGCAAATTTCCGGTCAAATTTCATTTTGGTCGGAAGTTTTTCCGGACAAATTTTAAAATTATTTCAGGCTCTGAATTAAGCTCCGGTCAAACGAGGATAAGAGTTGATAACAGTTGGCAGTCACGCATTGTTATGGGGGACATTTGAAGCTCTAGATTAACACATTTTGTAAAAAACTAGGTTTTCAAAACACTGTTTTAATGGTGCGTTTTGTTATAAATCACATCCTAAGCATAGCATTTCAGAGAAAATATTTACATGATTATTTACATTTGTGAATGGAATTGCAAGGTGGTTTAATTTAACACGCAATGACAATGTAAAAATGTATTCGCTAAGTGAGTGAAATTTATTCGCTCTGCACGCTTTTGTTTTTGTTAACATAAAATTGGAATGTTAATTATAAAATGCGTATGTTGTGACATGTACAGTATAGAGAAACATATATTATTATATTATAATGACAGTTACGTTATAGGAGTGTTATTTGGTACAAGATTTTTACAGCTTTCAAAATTATTGGGGGGGGGGGTGCTCGGGCCCCCTAGTGTCCGCCACTGCCAACCAATTGTGGTCGCGTGACTTCGTCGTTTGGTCCCGGCTTGACCTTGTGGCAGGCAAAGCCGTGAATATCATATTCACTGCTGCTCTTTTTTCTATCATTCGAAGGTTTGGTATTAAATATGATTACCATCATTAAATACAGCAGGAATGGATCCAGCATGATCTGGTGGAGGGGGGGGGGTGCTCTGCCAGCACTGGTGCAGAGTTGTCTCGGGCACATGCACCGCCCGCCCATCAACATACAGCAGTACTTGCTTGACTACTGTATTTGAACTATTATTGTTGTTCACAGTTCGCTTATCATGTTATTACTCAAATTACTGTATCTCGTTTTGTCTCTAATATTTTTTTCTTTATCATGAAAAATAGCACCCCCCCCTGCACCCCTCTGGCCAGGTCTAGGTGGTGCGCACCCCCCCCCCCCCCCCCCCCCCCC